AGGGGCAACCGGGCATATTCGCGGGCCAAGGCAAGATTTGGACACCGACCTTGCCGGGGACATATCGCATGCCCGTGCTTTCTGTCTTCTAGCGATGCATTTGCTTCCTAATTCCGCCCCTCTGAGAGAGTTTGGAAAAGTGGGGCGCGTGCGTCCGCCTAAGCCAGACAGTATTGCTCGTTGTAAGTTTGCTCACTCTTGGTTACATTTCGAAACTTTTTGGAGGTGCGCCAGTTGTCTCGGAGCGCGCGGGGCGCCGTGGCCCAGGGGGCCCCCGCCCGAGCACTGCCCAGGCCACCGTGACCTCCGCTCAAAGACATGCGAAACCGTGGCCATTTTTGCATCAGTTTGACTTGCTCAGACAATGCCGTTTTCCTCATCTGCCCTGCCTGCAAATCGTACTCCTCCCACGGTATAGTCAAAATGCCGTTGCAGCGCGGCCCAGTCGTCTCGGATAGCGACTTTGGTCAGAGGTTTCCAGAGGAAGGCGCCCCAAGAGGCCCTCCGTGTCTGTTGATTGCCCTCTCAATGTATTGGATTTAGACAGGCGCCCCAGCGGTCTTCCGCTGGCCAGTCTCGCTCGACGCCCAGCGCGCAGGAGGGCGAGCCCTTTTTTCAAACTCTGACGAAGACCTGCGTCGCCGGGGCGCAGGTGCGGCGGCATTGGCCCGCGCCGCCGCCCGTCGCAGAGTTTCCCTGTCGCAAGCCGAAGGCCAGAGGCGCGTAGGCCCGCCGCAGGGCGGCCAAGTGTCCTCCGGCGATTCGGACTAGCCCCCCCCACACCTTTTTTTGCTGGGACGCTGGCTGATAAGCTCGCGCTATGACTGCCAGCTCTTGCTGGCGCTCGGCGCCCCTCAGAAACTTCGCGCGTTAACTTTTCCCTGCCAACTCATCCGTGAAAGCTGCGGCGGCTCTGGATATTTTGGGCTCTGCCCTGTATTTCTTGGACCGCATTTGGCGTCATCTTCCTTTCCATATTGGAAGTGGCCCTCGAAGACGCCCCGCCTGGCCCCCGCCTTGTTCAGTCGGTGGGGCTCGGTGCGGGGCCCTTGTTTTTTTCCGGCGAGGTGCCGGCGCCATCTCGTTCCCCGCTTGCGGGGCTGGTGCCTCTCGGGAGTTTGGGCGGCGGGGCCGGCGCTGGCGGCGAAATTTCCAAGGGTTGAAGCGGGAAAGAAAACAAGAACATAAACACACGGACACACACACACGCACCAAACAAAAAAAGACAAAAGAGATACCGAAACCGAGTCAGCGCCCCTCGGGGCTAGCACGAGGCTTGCGGTCCCAACAAAACAAACGGCGATCGAACCCGAGAAAGCGCCCCTGGGGACTAGCTCGGGAATGTGCGATATAACGCCACTCACTGGGTTGGCTACCTCGCATCCCGCCTTCGCGCGACGCAGCGGGGCGACGGCGAGTGCCCCGCGCGCCTCGCTGGGCGCCAGCTTCGCCGCGCACCTGGAAACCCACGTGCCCCTCGGATTCCCCCAAGGCAGCCGAGGCCCTGCCAGGCCTGCCTTCTCGCGAGCGCGCGAGCGCCACTGCCGAGGCCGCGGCCCCCTCCCCCGCCGAGCTGGCGCCTTGGCCCGTCCGCGCCCGCGACTCACGCCGCCGCTGTGTCCGACGAAGGATGGAGGCAAGGGGTCGCCGAGCTCGCGCAGCGGCACATTGCCCCGCCAGCGGGCGGGGCTCTGCGCGTGGACTCGCCCAGAGAGACCGCCCGTCGCACAAAGCCGTCTGCCCCGCGGAGCGGCTGCCCTGTCTGCCAAGTCAAATTTGCTGCGCGGGCTTGCCTCCGCGTTGTTCACTCCTGCCATGCGCCTTCCAGGCCCATGTGGGCTGCCCCGCCTGCCTGCCGCGATCGCGCATGCTTCGCGGGCGCGGCGTAACACCCGATGTTGGGCTCCGTCGGGAAGGCCATCCAGCTCTGGCGGGCATGCATCGGGATCTCCAGCGACGGCCCAGGTAGACGCACGGCGACCGCCGCGCGCGGGGGCACGGGGACGTAGAGAGCCCGCGCGTCGGACGCGCGCGTCCACGGCACCGCGGAGATATCCAACATCGTCCCTGACTCCGACGCGAAGCACGTAGGGCCCGTGCGGGCGATCAGCGTGGATTTCAATATCTGGCGCCACCTGGACCGGGGCGCCTCCTCTGGCGCGACGTCCCAATCCCCGTCGATAGCCCATGGGATCGTCGATCTGCGTAGGGCACGGCCGAGGTCGCCGAGCCATCCCGAAGCCTTCGCACCATATATTTGAGAAGGGATGCGTGTCTTAACTTTCTGGTCTCGCCCCATTGCCCGACGAGCATGGGAACCACAGTTGAAGACGAACTGTTGGCAGGCTCCAGACCGCCCAGATGTGTACCAAACACTAAACCACGGCAGTTATCTTGTATCTTGGCAGTTGAGTGCATAAAGGCAAACGCATCTACATGTTGCAGCCTCTTCATGCCTTCACCTAAACGTACCGTGGGGCATGGCTGTCTTAGACGAGCTCATCGCGACCCCTTTTATCTATGAGGCGGGCTCGCACGGACCAGACGGACTACAGTTGACGCAGTTGACGCTCTCTTTTTGTACCTACATGGTTCGGTCGCTGCGGCCTTCAACGCTTTCATATCCTTCGCATGGGCAAACAGCTCCACAACATACTGTCGATGCGAGACCTCCGACGCCTGCTGACGACGAACCGCAAAACAACCAATCGGCCCAGACCGCCATTTGAAAACCATGCACAAGAACAGGGACCATGTGAGTGGGATCGGCAACAACAACGATCGGGAACGAGGGGGGGCGGGGGCGCTCGGGTGGGAACGCTCCCGCCCGCGGCTACCAGACCGGCCGATCAGACGCACCAAGTCGGCGGCGCTCCCGATGTCGTTCATGGACGTCGCCCGAAGCCATCTGTCCACGCGAGGGCGTTTGGCCCAAACTACACTGAAACAAAATGCATACGGATAAAGACGAGACCGCCTGGACACAGTTCCAAACCTGCGCTGACCAGTGGACGAGCTAGGAATGCGGGGGAACGCGTTGCACAAGGGTGCCCGTAAGGCACGGCGATCAGCAACAAACCTGTTCTGGGATAGGATGCAGGTTCGATGGGGTGGCTCTCCTGAAATTGGCGTGCCGAGCTTCGCCACCCAATAAGAGGGGGAATTGCCTTGCACTTCCCGAACGGACAGACATAGTCGGAGGGAGGGACGGGGGGATGGAGGGAAAGAGATGATGATGACAAAGGGGGGGATGAAAAACAACGCGCTCTATTCATCATCGCGTGCATCCACCGTTTTCTCGCGTGTGCACAGCGCTATGTGCGACACTGTGAGACAAGGGCAACATTGGGCATACTAGATCCTTCTTCCGCGGTGAGCGTTTCTGTCTCAGTATCCCTGACCCCCCCCCCGTCGTTGCAAGAATGGTGTTGTGTCAAATGGCGCCCCCGTTTCCTCGTCAGTGAATCGGTGTCTCCACTGGCGCGAGCGAACTTCAGGGGGGGAAACCAGAGCTCCCTCTCTCTGTCCTCCCCCGCCCTCATTCGCTCCGCTCCGCAGCCCACTTGCCCTGCCTCGTCGTATCCGCCTTCGGCAAGGGCACTCTTTTCCAGCGGGGCGTTCCAGAGTGAATTATGTGCCCCAAGGCTGCCGAATAGAGGGGATGGACGGGGAGGCGGAAAAAGTGGACGGGTGGGAGGTGGAGAGAGGAGAGGAGGTGAGAACATGATGACATTTCCAATTCGGAACACGGGCGTCGTGCCATATGATCGTTAAAGAAGACGAAAGCAAAGAAGTGTAGAAGCTGAACCCTTGAATTTGGGGGATCCTATAGTTTTGCTCCCACACAGGGAAGCGCTGAGCTTGAAATCCGTGGATCTAGCGCGTGAGCGCCAGACTCACGGCTCCAGGAAGGTACCTCCGAAACATTAAGCCAATCTCGCCTCATTTGGCGGCGAATCGCACCGATTTTGTACGGAAGCAGGGCCCGTCGCTGATCCACGTGCCTCAGTCGGTGTCTGCGCTTCCTCGACCGATGGTCGTCTCATTCTCCTTCCCCTCATCCTGCGACATCGCTGTGCGCGGAGCGGGGATGCGAGGTCTCTCATCCTCCACCCCTGGGGCGAGAGAGGAAGAGGAGGGGAAAGGGCGAGGGGAAAGAGGAAGAGCAGGAGCGGGGGGAATGGGAAGGGGACGAGGACAAGGAATCGAGAGGGAGCGAAGGAGGGAGGGGGAAGGGGAAGGGGGGAGAAGAGGAACGGCAACAGGGGAAGGGGAGAGATGCAGAGACGGAGGATATCCGCCCAGAAAGACGCTGCGATCAGCCGATCGTAGTCCGTGCAGCGTAACAGGTTCCGCCCAGCGGCCGAGTTGGAGGCTTGGAAATGGGCATCGACACCAACACAGGGGGTTGCCTACACCAGAGGAAGATGAACCTAGAATTTGGTGTTGGTGGTTTTACTCCGACCACCTAGGAAACCCAACTACTACCACCACCACCGAGATCGGGAAAATCTTCCCTCGGTGGAGGCACACCGCCGATATTGTTGATGCCAACCTCTGGGACTCCAAAACCCGCCCAACGGCGGCCGCACGCCCCCGCAAGCCGCCGCTCTGGTCGGGCCGGCCCTGTCTGGCGGGCAAGCGCGCGCGGGGCGCAGGGCGGCTAGCCGTCGTCGGCCAGGATGCGGTCCGTCTGCCTCCGGATGTCGTCCAAGTCGGTGCGCTCCTCGAAGGCGACGTCCGGGGCGCAACTGCAGAGGTCTGGCAGGGCGGTCAGCGGGGTGGAGTCGTCGTGCCAGACGCCATCTGCGGCGACGGTGAGCATCGTTTCACAGATCCCTATCCCCACTGGCCTTCCAGTTGGCCCCGCTGGCCGATTTACCCCCCTTGATGAGGATATAGGCTGTTCCCTTCGGGCTTCGAGAGGCGAATTCTAAACTGGGGTGGTGGGATGGTGACGATCGGGATGGGAATGGGTATAGGAATCGGTCAAACGATGCTTAGATGGTGTAGTATCCTGCGCGCAAGTCCGTCTCCCACATGCAGTGTATCTGCTCCGGGGAGACATGGTGCACCACCCATGTTCGGTTCGTCATCCTGGACCACAGGTTGGGGTGGCAGCTGGGCTCCATGGCGAAGACCTTGTTGTCGAAGTCGTCCAGCGTGAGCGACGGCAACGGGTCGCGCTCGTCGTACAGCAGCTGGCGCAGGTGCACCCCGATGCACGGGTCGTCACCGAAGATTATGCGCAGGCGGCCTTCCTGGCTGGCCCTGGCGATCAGGCGCACGACGTCCATGGAAAGCACGCGAACCACGCCTCGGGGGTACGGTGGGAAGACCTCGAAGGGGAAATCATCCATGGAGTTGTGGAAATTGTCATCCGGGTCGTCCGGGATGGGGCTGATGTAGTCGAAGAAGCCCCAGGCGTACTGCGCGGGGGGCTTGAGCTGCAGCAGCTCCAGCAGGGGCGCGGGCCGCCAGTACACGTCGTCGTCCACCTTGAGGAGGAACTCGGCCTCGGAGCGCAGGGCAATCCACTCGAGGAAGAGGAGGCCCTTCTGGGAGTTCATGCGGTAGCCCTCCACCACGTCGAGGAAGACGAGGTCGCCGTGCTGCTCCTGCTCACGGCGCACCCGCATCTCGACCAGGGAGGAGCCAGCCGAGGCCGCGCCCAAGAAGAACGTGTACCTCATGCCGTGCTGCTGGAGCACTCTGCCCCACGTCTCCCTCACCGCGCGCCGCTTCGCGAAGTTGCCCCTCGCGGAGTAGACGCCCACGAACGCCAGGGGCGGGCGCCCCCCACCGTCGGGGGCAAGGCCCGCGAGGCGCAGGCGGCAGAGCGTGCAGGCCTGGCTCGACAGGCGCTCCTCGAAGGGCCGGTTGTATCTGTAGAGCATCTGGTCCTGGAGGATCCGCTGGTAGTGCCACAGCGCCCCGAGATGCTCGTTGTGCCTAGTCACCGTCGCGAGCGTGTCCGACAAATCAAACGGGTCGGTTCGAAAATCGGCGATGCCGTTGAATACCATCTGCCCAATATCCACGAAACCGTTAAAGACGGCGATGGTGTGGAACGAGAGGCTGCGGATGAAGGGCAGAGAGACGGTGTGATTCCCGTCGTCCACGATCAGCGAGAAGCGATATCGAGACATGGCCGCCGCGTGGGTTTCCAGGTCGCCGTCGTCGAAGTATATGTGCTCTGGCAGCAGGGCCTGGGCCTGCTGGAGGACCTCCTCGGCAAGCTCGGTCCAAGACTCCCTCTGCGGCAACAACACCGACAACAACTGGTCCTTGCCCTCCATCACAGCATCAGGGTCATCCGGAAGCCAGAACTCGGGGAGGCTCTCCAGGAAATGAACCGGGCCCCGCCTGCCCGCGAAGCGCACGTGTGCCAGCGAGTCCGTGAACACGACGTCCGCGCTGCCCAGGTCCAGGTCTGGGTTGAGGAAGTCCCCGTACGTTAGGAAGGAGACACGGCAGACCTCACCGCCTGGCTCCTGTCGCGCGCCGCCGCCGTGCAGGGTGATCTCCATGCTCAGCCCCTCGACCTCGCACTCCGAGAACCTGCCCGCCGCCGGGGCCGCGGCGAGGCACGCCAGCGCCCGCGCCGGCAGGCGACATCCTCGGCCGCGCCTCATTCGCGCCGAGGACTCCTCGGGGGCGGCCCCGGAGCCTCCCAACGCACCCGCGCCCGCGCCCGCGCCATGGACAGCGGGCACACTGGGCCGCGGCGGGGGAGAGGGCGCTGGCGGATACGAGTGCTCGCTGAGGGCCACGGGGGGGGGGGAAGCGGGGAGGGTCTCGGCAGTGCATTGCCGCCCCGCGGGCGTCTCTCTCTCTCTCTCTCTCTCTTTTCGAGGCCGTCCTGCTGCCTTGCCACGGGTGGGCAGCCGCGGGCCTCTCTTTCGGGCTGGCCGCGGACACGGCTGGCAGGCACGGGTCCTCACCAAGGAGTGTGCGCAACCGCCGCGCTTCCCAGGCCTCAGGCGTCCAGATCGACCAGCGGGGCAAATGACGAGGACGGCCCCGATCGATATCGGGTAATCATAAACAATCGGATGGCCTCCCTCGACATCTGGGAATCGTACACGCACACACGCAAACTGAACACACAAACGCACACAAACGACGAGCAGAAATATCTACGTAAACGTACATTCTGCTGTGGTGTGAACCGGGTAACGTGTGGTCTGGGACCAGCGTGATAATTCGTTTATAGGGGAACAAAAAGTGACATAAACATAACAACTCTGAGGTCCGCGCGGACCTCCGAGTTTGTATGTTTATGACACTTTTTGTTCCCCTAAGCAAGCGACATTGAATACAATTATCCCAGTGCGACCCTACCTAGGAGTTGGAGCCCCTAGAAAAGCAGCATTAGTAGTAACAGTAAAGCTAAGCTAAAGCTAAGCTAAAGCTAAGGTAAAGCTAAGCTAAAGCTAAGCTAAAGCTGAGCTGCAGCTAAGCTAAAGCTAAGCTAAAGCTAAGCTACGGCTAAGCTAACACTAAGCTAAAGCTAAGCTAAAGCTAAGCTGACGCTAAGCTAAAGCTAAGCTAAAGCTAAGCTAAAGCTAAAGCTAAAGCTAAGCTAAAGCTAAAGCTAAATATAAGCTAAAGCTAAGCTAAAGCTAAGCTAAAGCTAAGCTAAAGCTAAGCTAAAGCTAAGCTGAAGCTAAGCGAAAGCTAAGCTAAAGCTAAGCAAAGGCTAAGCAAAAGCTAAGCTAAAGCTAAGCTAAAACTAAGCTGAAGCTAAGCTAAAGCTAAGCTAACGCTAAGCTAAAGCTAAGGTAAAGCTAAGCTAAAGCTAAGCTAAAGCTAAGCTGAAGCTAAGCTAAAGCTAAGCTAAAGCTAAGCTAAAGTTAAGCTGAAGCTAAGCTAAAGCTAAGCTAAAGCTAAGCTAAAGCTAAAGCTAAAGCTAAGCTAACACTAAGCTAAAGTTAGGCTAACACTAAGCTGAAGCTAAGCTGAAGCTAAGCTAAAGCTGAGCTAAAGCTAAGCTACAGCTAAGCTAACACTAAGCTGAAGCTAAGCTAAAGCTAAGCTAAAGCTAAGCTAAAGCTAAGCTAAAGCTAAGCTAAGGCTAAGCAAGGCTAAGCTAAAGCTAAGCTAAAGCTAAGCTTAAGCTAAGCTGAAGCTAAGCTAAAGCTAAGCTAAAGCTAAGCAAAAGCTAAGCTAAAGCTAAGCTAAAACTAAGCTGAAGCTAAGCTAAAGCTAAGCTAAAGCTAAGCTAAAACTAAGCTAAAGCTAAGCTAACACTAAGCTAACGCTAAGCTAAAGGTAAGCTGAAGCTAAAGCTAAAGCTAAAGCTAAGCTAAAGCTAAAGCTAAGGTTAAAGCTCCCAGCGGACTGGGGGAACCGCGGGGCGGGGACTGGGGGAACCGCCGGGGGCGGTTTCCATTGCCCGGCCCTTTAAGCAAAGAGAGTAAGAACCCTTCTAGGCAGAGCCTAGGTAGGGAACTAGCGAGACTGCACATGACAAGTTCCAGAGTCCGCCTACGAGAGTCCACTGCACAATCAGCCTCAAAATGTAGGCTCCCCCTGTAGGCGTTCACAACTCCTTCGCAAGGCTTGGCGTGCGAACCTCCTCTGCACAACGCCACTGGAAGTCACCAGACAAGGCAACAACGCAACGCCAGGGGGCGAGCGAAATTGTATACGGGCCGGGCACCACGCCGATGCGTGTTTTTTGAGCAAGCAGTCCCCCCCAACCCACAGAAGGCACGACTATCGATACATCCTCACACCTCCTCGAACAACTCCAACTACACATACTTCACCTCCTCATGATCAATCCAATGTTTATCCTGCGCCCGCTGATTCGCTGGCCCCTTCGGGGCCAAGAGGCTGCGAGGCGGAAATGTCCCTGGTCCCTGTAACGGTTTCATTTTTCAATGTCTGATTCTGCATTCTCTCTTTTATCCGCCACAGTGGCCAGAGGCACGCGTTGGAGTGCCCCCAGGTCCCTTGGAATTCTACGTCTTCAGGCCTGAGTGAGTGAATAGAGCGCATTTTTTAGTCGCGGCCATAACGGGCGTGAAGGGGGGGGGGCGGGGGGGGCGCATAGCGTAACGCCCTACCCCGCCGTCGGCACCACAGCGCCTGTGCGCATCACAGCAAGCACCACAGTGCGCAGCACAGTATGCACCCCTGCAGCCACGTGCACCGCATCGCCTATGTATTGCAGTGCGTAATTGCAACACCACAGCGTTTGTTCCTCCACTCCCTCCTTCGAACATTACTCTGTGCTGGTGTTTGCTCGACGACTGGGGCGCCCGAGCGCCAGACGACGACGACGACGACGACGACGACGACGATAACGACGAGGACGAGGACGACGAGGACGAGGACGAGGACGAGGACGAGGGCGGGGACGACGACGACGACAAGGACGTGGACGAGGACGACGACGACGAGGACAAGGACGACGACGACGTGGACGACGGCCGCATCTGAAAGCTTCCAAATGTCTTTGGAGGCCTAAAACAATTTCTGGAGACCTTTCGAGCGTCTGCAGGCCCTTCGAGGCCCTCGGCGACGACGACGAGGAGGACGACGACGACGACGAGGAGGACGAGGACGAGGACGAGGACGACGGGGACGAGGCCGAGGCCGACGATGACGACGAGGACGAGGACGAGAACGAGGACGAGAACGATGATGACGACGAGGACGACGACGATGACGACGGCCGCGACGGAGGCCCTGGCCGAAGGAGACCTCTGGATGCGTCCGGAGCCCCTTCGAGACCATCGACGACGACGACGAGGACGGACGAGGACAAGGACGAGGACGAGGACGAGAACCACGATGACGACGGTCACAGGTCTGAGGCCTGAGGAGGTCTCCGGAAAACTCTGAAGCCCTTCGAGGCCCTCGACGACGACGACGACGACGACAACGACGACAACGACGACGACGACGACCGCGGCGACGACGAGGAGGACGAGGGCGACAACGACGACAGGGAAGAGGACGAGGACGGGGACGGGGACGACGATGACGACGACTAAAGCGACGACCACGACGACGACGCCGACGACGACGGCAACAACGACGACGAGGTCATCGACGACAACGACGACGAGGACGGCGACGAGGACGGGGACGAGGAGGAGAACGACGACGACAACGACAACGACAACGACGACGACGACGACGACGGCGGCCGCCTCTGAAGGTCTACAGACGTCTCCCGGGGCCTCAGGAGAGGTCTGGAGGCCTCTGGAAGCGTCTGCAGGCCCTGCGAGGCCCTTTGACACGTCAACGAACGTTAGAGGTACCTGCAAGCACCACAGTAGCCTGCGAACACCACAATGGTAGTGCTGGAGGCGCACCACGGGGGGAGGGTGGGAGCGTTACGTTAATTATGGGGTGACGCCCAAGAGGCTCCCAAGAGGCCCCAAAGGCCCCCAAAAGGCCCAACAGAGGCCTTATAAGAGGCCCCAAAACGGCCCTCAAAAGGCTTCTAAATTGGCCTCGGAAGGCCCCCCACGAGATCCCATCGAACATCCAATAAGCTTCAGACCCACAACCCAGGCACGGAGGCGGGACTTGCCGCAAGCAGCTGGATCCGCCGCCGCCTGTCGATTCATCGCAGGGGTGCCTGGCGTGCTGGACCCTTCTGGTTTGGATTTTGTTTTTTTTCCAAAAAACTCTGGGCCTTCGGCGCGTTCCGCCGGGGCCCCGGAAGGCCGCGTAAACCACCTCAGCGTCCACAAAAAATCCTCCAACACGGCTCAAGATGGCCTCCGATATGGTCACGTTGGCCCAAGATGGCCTCCGAGATGGTCCAAGATGGCCTCCAAATTCGCCCAAGATGGTCCAAGACGGCCTCCAAGACGGCCCAAGAGAGGCCAAGACGGCCCAAGCAGAGAAGGCATGGGCGATTCTTGTGGTGTCCGGTGTCTGGTGTCCGGTGACCGGTGTCCGGTGACCGGTGTCCGGTGTCCGGTGTCTGCTGCGCGGTGGGTGTCTGGTGTCCGGCGTCCGGTGTCTGGTGTCCGGTGTCTGCTGCGATGTCCGGTGTCCAATGTCCGGTGTCCGGTGTCCGGTGTCCGGTGTCCGGTGTCCGATGTCCGGTGTCCGGTGCCCGGTGTCTGGTGTCCAATGTCCAGTGTCCGGTGTCCGGAGTCCGGTGTCCGGTGTCCGGTGTCCGGTGTCCAATGTTTGGTGTCCGGTGTCCGGTGTCCAATGTCCGGTGTCTGGTGTCCGGTGTCCGGTGTCCGGTGTCTGGTGTCCGGCGCGCGAGAATCGCTCTATAGTGCCCCAGAGGCCTCCAAGACGGCCCCAAAGGCCTGAGGTCCTCCCGTTTTTGAAGGATTGTGGCATTCTCTTCTTCTCGGCTTCCCGACGACCCAAGACGGCCCAAGAGGCCCCCAAGATCGCCCCCACAGCGCTTAAGAGGCCTGCAAGATTGCCGCAGCACTTCCCAACAGGCCCCCAAGACGGCCCCAAGAGGGCACAAAGACGACCCAAGAGACCTCCAATACGCCCAAGATGGCCTGTAAGACGGCCCTGGAGCACCCCAAGAGGGCCCCAAGTCGGCCCAGAAAGGCCCCCCCCCCAACGGCTTCCGACGGCGTCAGACGGGCCAGGAGCCCACCAAAGGCCAAAATATTGATTTTGGATTTTGAGATTT